TCACAATTTAATCAATGAATAAATTAATACTGAGGACAGGACCTAGGTTTCCTCGATGGTAGTTACAGCCATGCTTCATGACTAAATTACTACACCCTGATATTTGTGGTCAAAATATTCTTTAAGTGTTTGCCGGAGAAATATTTGAGAAACAGCTGTTATCTGCTGGTAACCTAGCAGTTTGACATGACCAGAAATGTACCTAGCTTTGCCCTCCAATGCCCTCAGAGAGTGTTCTCTTTACATTCTTCTTCTGACAGACGAATGCACCTCAGCAAAGTCATCCTTGCAACACACTGATTTAATTGGTCTGATCCAGTACAATGGCAATTCTGCATTTAGAATTTAGGGAATAGATTAGCAGGTCCACTGTTGCAACCCCCTCCCAGCAATCATCCAGTACCTTACCTGAACATCCATAGACACTGAAATTTGCCAGAGGACCCAGCTGTGACTGCACTTTCTGCAGCAACGCTTGCCACAGGAGCCACTAGTGGTTTTCTACATTGCCAATACTTAATCTAAGCTGTGAACATACCTCACTCAGGGGTAAGGCTTATCTACAATAGCATGCAGATCCAGACTGAAATGGACACCTAAGTCTGCAGAGAGGATCATCAAGGCTCATCTTCCCTTGACATAGGAATTATACAGGTTTAAGGGTAGGAAAACAGTAGCTAATCTATTCGCAGACCCCAAAGATCCTGGACAATAATGATTGAAGTTTTACGTTGGCAGCACAGCTGAAGAAGCAACCACTACAGAGACAGTGCTTTATTTTTCTCACAGTCTCTATGATGAGTTGATCACCTTACAGCCAAAGTATCCAGGTATTAAAAGGATGAATCACAGCCAAACATTTTTCCTTTTTTATAAAAAAAAAGCTATATGTATACATACAAGTAAAAACACTGTTGTTGTCTTTATTTTTCCTCCTATTAATTTATCTGTCATACTTTTAAGAGTTTTAGGGTTCCTTATTCTAATACATGATGATGCACAATCTAACAAATCTAATATGCTCTAACTCAGAAGAGCTTGAGTGATAAAGAGAAAATAAATTCTAAATTCTAAATTAATTTCATTTTGTATACACTGTGTATACAAAATGACAATAAAAGTTGTTTAAGTCTAAACTCAAAAACTAAAGTAATGACTTAACAAGTCACAATTTTCCATTTTATTTTCGATTTAGTTGGACTTGGTGAATATTTAGAAAATACTGCATTAGTAAATTGTATTACCTCTAGAATTTCAAGGACTTGATAACCAGCTTGATGTAAGATATTCAGTGTGTTCTAATTTGCACATTAATCAGTCAGCTAAACACCTTACCTGTGACCTCAAGCTCTTTCAATTTATTCTACAAAAAGGTTTGGATCACATGAAATAAGAGAAATTGGGCACTAAAGGAAAATTAAATTTTATGCAATCCAATTTTAGGGTCTGTGCGTCTTTGAACATATCTAGTAAACATTTTATAATTGTTATTATAGCCATTTCCTTGGAACAAAATGGTGATGCTGAATAAGGAATAAGAGGAAATATAAATGTAATGGTAAACATTGAGAGAAAAAAATGTATGACTTTGTTAATTTATTTAATTAACCCAATGCATTTATCTGCTCCCCCACCTATACCAGATTGTATATAATTCTCTATGCAGTTCAAATAACTGTAACTGAGGTGAAGTTTACATGTGCTGACTACAATTGTGCTTGACTGTAGGTGAGGCGTTGCATTGCTTTTTTTCTTTTGATAGAGTATAACATACTTTATGGATTTTCTTGTTGGACTTCAGATTAATGTCCCTTTCTTCAAGCTTACTGCACCAAACCTCAATGGCGGTCTGACCACCTGCAGAGTTTATAGAACTGTGATCTTCTTTCTAGGTAGCCAGGGATAATCCCAAACTATTACAGTAGTTAAAGCTTCCTCAGTAAAAGTGTTTACAGATTTCGTGCCTGTAGATGGGATTTAGAAGGCTTTTACAAAATACTGTTGTTCAAATCTGCCAAATCACTTTTCCTCATAATTGACCTATTTTCTTCCAGAACTCTAGGTAAAATCATAGCTCTCAAACTGCTCTCACTAAATTACTTCTTGGTAAAATAATAAAAACGAACTCAAAGCTCTAGTATTTGTGCACAAGATATTATAAAGGATTCCGACTGCTCTTGCAAACATTTAAAACAGCTTACCCGCAGGCAATGCATTAGTGTTTATCTTTCTTTTCTATGTTGATTGATTTCATGTTTGTATATACAGTGGCACTATCTTACTTAACTTACATATTGCATTGCTAACGATTCTGGTCTGATGAGTATGATTCTCGCATTATCTTTCACATGAAACTGTTTTATTTTGTGTCTGTTTATAGTCGTAAACGAAAACAAAACTGAACATACAATTCTGTTCAGTCTTTTTCACAGACTGGGCTTCTCCTGATAAGAATTTGTTTCTAAAAACATTATAACATCTACTTCTCATTATTGCTGGAGAACATGGCAACAAGCTCATTCAGTGAATGTGCTACTAAAACAGTTTAGGGGAATTATGTGGGCGCAGTGAAAGGCTAACAGTCAGCTTTACTGGGCTCGCAGAAAGAAAATGTCAGTTTCAGTAGAAATATCACTTATGTTACTTGTAATAAAGAAGCAGTCTAGATTATGCTTATTATCACTCTAAATCATCCTTAAACTAGTGTAACATACAGTTGTATGTTGTAGTATTATACAACAAATATTATTTTGTCATGACTGCATTTGGTCAAAATGTGTCCTTTGACCAGAATTTAGAAAAAGAAACAGTTTGAATTTGCCAAGTCATATTTACTTATTCTCAAAATGTCAACATCCTCTGCAGAGCCCCCTCTGTGAACTGTGAACAAATAGGGATGGGATCCAAGCTCTCAACTACAGTGCCAGCTTTGTTTTAAGCCTTGGATACCAGTGCCCTCTAGTGCTCATACTCTAAAATACTCAAAACCGATCTTCTAGTTTTGGAATAATGAAAAGAATTCTTTATTAAGACAATACATCTATGCTTTGTATATAATTCTCACTATCTTTTATACTATGATATTACTTTAACAATATAATAGAAGCTTTGATTAATTTCTGTACACAAAGCATGGAACTGCAATTGGACTGCACATTACCATTGTTCTGATATCAGCTCCTCTCAGACGGGTTTTAATGTGAGTGTGTCTACCTAATGAGGCTTGCCACAATTACAGAGGGAGTGGCAGTTAAAATGGGGACAGTCAATCTTTTCTCCCTTTAATAACCAGATCAGTCAGTCTGAAATGTTCTGCAGCCGGCAACGTTCTGTCCACCTGCTAAAGTTATGTCATTGCAAGGTCAGACTGCGATGATCTGTTATGTGACCACAAGATGATGTGCATCTTTCCCTCAGAGAAGATTATTCTGTTATGTTTATAGCCCTTTGGATATAAGAGATGAAAATAGGAACATATTCTTGTCGTTATAATTGGACTCAGCCTGTTCTGCTTTTGATGGCAATGTCTTTGCTTGCAATTCAGTACCATCTGGCTAAGTCGTTGCAGTCGAAAGCTGGAAGCTGTTAGATTAACCAGACTTCATTCAGAATGTTATCATTGGTTTAGGCATGTTGGCAATACCCATTACTTATGAAACTGCCCAGATTATGAGTAGGCCTTATGTTAATCTGCTGTTATCTATTCCCGAATAATATGACAATTTTTCGATAAGAAAAAAAAAATGTAAAGGTGTAAAAAAGAGGGATAGATGAAATCAAATCTTTTTATTTATTGATTTTTGTTTTCATTTGACAAAGATCACTGACAAATTTTTGTGGCAGCGAACTTTCCAGGTATCTTTGCTGTCACTGTGTACTCCATCAAACAAACAGTCCAGCTAGGTCACCATATCAGACAAACACAATAGGTTATGTGGACCTGGTAAACATTTGTTCTGTTCTTTTTCGCAACCCTCCCAAAATTAGCATTCAGGATTTACTTTGCAAATCCAAATTTCATTCCTAACACTCAGGGGATATTTAGATCATGATATGACCTGGTAAAAAAGAGGTGTTAGCTCCCAAAGTAGCAGAAAAGAGAAAGCCTTGCCAAAAAATGCAAATTGTTCTTTATTTTTAATCACAGTTAGAAACCCATATCTTTACTGTTGTAAGGGACGTTATTTGCAAATTAGCTATTTTCTAAATCAGGGGTCAACAAAGAGGTGCCCACAGGCACCAAGGGGCCCTCAAGGACCACATGGGGGACCCTCAGCATTTTCTGAAAAAAGAACAACTCACCAGTGGGCTGAGTTTAAAGTTTGATTTGATTCTGTTGCTCTTAAGTTTTAATCACTTATAGACCATTTCATCATATTAGTCATATAGAGAATTCAACTACTTATAGGGATGACAATATTTAAAGAAAATAGAGAATTAAAAGAAACAATAAAATATATGTATACTATGCATGAAGTTTAGGGGAACTCTGATTCCTCCAGTACATAGGTCAGTATTGGTGGCCCTTCTTATAACTCAGTACCGAAGAAGAAGCCCTCAGCCCTAAAAAAGTCGGTGACCTGTGATCTAAATGATTTTCCTTTCAATACTAGATGGAACCTCTGCAAGATACAGTATATACTGTAGTATGAGACAGGCATCGCTCTTTGAATTACTGTAAGTATAAACCTTCATCATCTCCAATTATAATTGTTTAACTTTCTATTGTTCTAAGGCACACTATACTATAGGGCCGCTAGTGTAAAAGTCAGATTTCAAGGATTAGATCATATTTTAACAATTATATAACTGGCAGATATTGGCAAGGCAGTGTGTACAGCACAAGACATTGAAATAGCAAATCAAAGGAAACAAAAATGTTGCTCTATATTTTTAATGGTGAGATTTTGTAGTACAATGAATGCATTTACGCCTATGTTCTTTAACATAATACTTAATATTTCAAACCCTGGCTGTTAATTAAAAAACTGCTGACATCTGACAGACTAATAAAACATTTACGATGCTGGCGTTTATGTATTGGCAGCTGTTTTTTTGTCCAAAATGGTACATTAGGCCACCGGCTGTCATCTGGTTTTTGCAGTTTTTCTGCAACAAGATAGATTTTATGAAGAAAACAAAACAAACCTTGGCATTAATCTTTTCTCATCTGCTTCTTAGGAAGAACATAACTTAGAGGGACACATGGAACTAAGCAAGTGCAGTTCTGTCAAAAATAATAAAATGATTATATCATTTCTCACTGAAGCTTTTTTTTTAAAGTTTGTGATGACTTACATGTTCTCACAGTTGGATAAAGTCAATACAATGTTGAATTTGTCATGTTCTTGTGCCATTGGGTGCTCCACATGTTTGGAAATGACATAGCCTTTTTGTGCACTGTATACTTTCAGAAACACACAAGAAAAACAAATGTAAATATGATGCAAATATATAAATATAATGACACAAAGAGGTAAGTGTAAATGAAAAATGATACCTCTGGGAGTTTTATCTTTACATCAACGCTATCTGTCCAGGCAGCAACAACTGCTGCTGACACTTCTTGCTTTGGATTCCGCTCATTTTCCAAGGAGAAGCCATAAAGGAACGCCACACCAGGGATATAGCGTTCAATTCTACAAGAGGACAGATTAAGTTGTAAACAAGTCAGACTTCAACAAGGATCATTTTTTTGTACTGGGGTAAAATGTGTATTTCAAAATAAATATATTTACATTGGGATGATTGAGAAGCAAAACACCAGCAGAGTGAACCATGGACATAATTTTAAAACAAGCTACTCCACCAATGATTTTTTTTTTTATGTAATGAAGCAGAATGGCACAAGTAAATGTTGGGAAAAGAGTATTTCACACTAAATATGGCAAGAGAGGCCTAAAATACTGTAGATGTTTTCCTGTGTTCTTTTGTGACCTTCTGAGCAGGTCATATTGACTTAGGAGGAGATTTGCTAGGCCTATCAGTCATTGAAAACTGTCAATGATTCTTTTTTTGTTTGTTTTTTGGGAAAAATTGGTCACAAGAGGTGATTTTTGTAATTCTATCCAGATTTTTGGATGTCAGACATTTAGTTTCTAATTGGTTTCCTTAATTTCCATAGATCTGGAGATATGTTGATTTAAAAAAACTTGTTTTGCTTACTTTATATTACAAGACAGGTTTTGTTTTAGCATTTACTAGGTTAGTTTACAATAAAATAAAATAATCATCTTTATTTACCATCAAGTGAATGCTAAATTCTGATGAAAATACTGATTTGAATATGTCACACAAAAAAATATTATATAATACATTTTTAGGTAGTATTTTTATCAGTACACATAATTTTGAAAACTGTATAAGCAGAACAAAATACAAGATATTATAACTTTATAGGTCTGGCAGTCGGCAGGCGTAGGTTGATCTTATTGACTTCATTTATCCATGTTTATTGAAAGATTAAGCAAGCGGGTTATTTTTCACTACTCTTTCCTTTAATAAAGAAACTCATTGTTTGTTTTTAATTCATTCTGGTTCTCTTTTAAAGGTATCAAAGCCTGTTGATGATCACAAACTTCTTGTGTGTTGCAAAACAGGCTAATTAAAAAAATGGTATTGCCAGTACTGCTGTAGTTCTAATTAATGGACTATGACAAAGTTTCTGATATCTAAGGGGCCACAAGTATTCCATGATGGGTAATTTTAAAGTGCTTTATCAAAATCTTTTTAATCCTTACATTGGAAAAATTTACAGATAAGATTGATCACAGATAGATTTCCAATCCTCTAAATGTTAAAGTTGTTAGAGTATTTCTTGGACAATATTAAAAAAGTGGAAGAAATTTTATCACACACCGCCGATTGATACGGTGCTCCTCACAAGATTCCTGACACAGGAGCAAAAATATTTAACTAAAGAGTTTTCAAAGAGCTCATGACCAATCAAGAGTCATCTCAAAAATTTGCATTTTGTGGTTGGATGAAAAAAATATATAAACAAGAGGATGTCACCATAAACACCTTCTTTTGGAAGAGAAACCACACAACATGCCACACAAAAAATGACTACTATGACACAGTGTTACTTAGTGGTGGAGACATGTGAGTCAGTGTTAATCAACAATCACCATATAAGTAATAAAAGGTGGAATTAGGAAGTGAACTGTTTTTTAAGTGTCCCCATAATGAACTGCTAAATGTTTTCAGGTAAAGAAAATAAATCTGCCATAATAACCCAGTATCTAAAGCAGTCTATTATTTCCAGTATACATTTTTCTAAAAATATGGCAATCAGAGTGTATGTATATCAGATAGTATGATAGATTCAAGTTTGCTTGGTAAAATTGGCAACTAACACTTTAGAATAACGTTAATAGTTTTTCAATAAATTACACCCGCCCTTGAGTGAGCAATAAAGCTCAAAACGTATTGCTCTAAATAACTCAAATACTCAAAGTAAACAGCCTGTACTTACATAGTCCCTTTTCATGTCAAGTCTAAATCACTTTACACCACATTCAGTCATTCAAAAACACATAAGCAAGCTACATTTTGTCTACAACTAGCCTGGAAAGGGATGAAACTCTTAAACAGGTACCACATAGCCCTAAAACCACCACCAGTAGGGAATGCAGGGGGGAAAGTCTTGCAGGACTCAGAAGGCTGGGATTTAAAACATCAACCCTCTGGCTGCAGGGCATTGTGCCCTATACCACCCCATAGCGAATTCTGCAATGACCTGCATAAAAATCACAAAAGCAAATATATCCTCATATGGAATATTTGTTTTGTGATTTGGTAACCTTATTCGAAATATTTCTAGAGGAAAAAATAAATAATTTCATTTTCCCTTCCATAACCTCAACTGATACTCTCTCTAAAAAACTTTTTCTATTTCATCACACATACTTTCCTCTTTAAATTACCTTTTGCCAATCTCAACCATGTACTCCGAAATGCTGTTCCATTGAACTGTGGCTTTGAGTTCTGGCCTTGTAAAGTTGATATATGCAGCAGAGGCTTTCATTGACATATCATAGGTCTGACACTCAGCTCCCCATCTGACGTGTGCCTACAAGAAAGACAGGATACTGATAATGATTAAAAACCGCACAAACAAGGAAATAAATATTCTGATAATGATAAATTAAAACTGATTCGCTATTCTTTTTACTTCACACCAACCTTTGCCTCAGCACCAAGACTGGTATCAACACACATCTTCCAGTTGGTGTTCGCTCCAACTTGGGACACAATTATCTGGCCATTATGAATGCCTGTCTCGGGTGTATAGAACATGGCTGCATCATAACCCTCAGGCTGCTGGTTTCCACTCATAGCAAAAGCTTTGAAGTTGAAGATGGCTTCAGTTGTTGAGTTTTGGACCTAAACAACAAGTTTGAAAACAGGACATTACTGCTCCACGTGTGAATAATACTATTAATACAAACTGTATGTTATGACAGGTAAATACTAATAAAAAAAAAAGCTACAGTTTAAGTCAGAATCTCTTATTCCAGATTGATTGTGGAAGCAAAACAACAGGTTTGCAACTTCTTTCACATACTTCCAACAGGATGTTGTGCTGTATGTGATGATAATGTTTGCTTCTTCTGGCTTATACTGAATATAGATTAATTTGTTGATTTGCTTCCTCTAAAAACATTTTGTAATTTAATGAAATCAATACACCAGAACACACACTGTGATATTGATGTTAAATCAGTCGCCAAATACCTTGGAAAGCCTGCTAAGGGTTTCAAGCAGTAGGCGTGCACTCATCGGTTGTCTGATGGGACCAAGGTCGAGCTCAAAGTGGATTTTTTCAACTGGTCTTGTTGTCTGGGCTAAGAAAAAGTGCAAAGAATTTATTAGCCCAGAATGTAGAAAAGGTGTGAATAAAGGCTGACTGTATAACATGAATCTTACTAGTTTTGTGTTTGGGAGATGATAGTTAGAATGATAGCTATAAAACAAATCCTATAAGAAACAGTTTTTATGATAAATAAAAATAAATAAAGAAAACTATAATAATTGTTTATAATAACCTACAAATGTAGATCTGGTCTTTACTTATTGTTCTTTGTTAAGTATTGTTGTTCAGGTGAAACATGTTTATAACCTTAACAAGAAGAATGAGTATTCTCTGTCGTGGAGTTTTTGCTGTTCGTTTACACAAGCTCATTGTTTCCATGTCTGAATCATGTGAGACTCACTTCTGAGTCTTGATTTAATCTCATGTTACAAAGCTTTGCACACCATTTGGTAAGAACATTTATATTACACCAGGGTTTCACATACACATTGGAGAGGAGGATAAGCACTCAGTTAGCAAAGAGAGCTTATCTGCAGGACCCTTTTCATGCCTTGGGAAGATTTTAGCTCCACTGATTTACTGAAAACTACCCAAATATTTTTTTCTTACTGTTGTGTGCACTTGTGGCTGGTCTTTTGTGATCCATCTTCCAAAACAGTTACTCATGTTAATTCGCTAATGCATCAAAGGAGGTTCAAAAAAGTAGACAGGTGAAGAAGACCAATCAGCAGGTCACCAGCATGCTTAAACCCAGAGAATCCAGGTTTAATCACTCTCTCCTGACCTGACTAATGGAGTCCATAGAGGCTACTGAGAAAAACTCAGGTTATATTCTTAGGCAACAGTACGGGCATGGATGGGAAAGAAGGAAAAATAATATTTAACTTTAAACGCACATTGCAGCTTTGAATTGCAGCATGTTGCAAAATGTATTTAGTCAGCTGTGAAATTCTAAGGAACAGGAAGTTTTATTGTTTTGATACCTTCAGTACCCTTATAATCGCACAGTTAGCTTTTGAGCAAGACAATGTCAGATGTGGGTTATGGCACTTTTAGATTATTCAAAATTATTTAGTACTCCGTTCATTTAGAAAGACATTCTTTACTGATAGATATACAGTTACAGCTAATATGGAAAGAATGTTCATCAAAAACAATTACATCAATCCTTTTCTCAATATTTTAAATGTTCCCCAAATCACCATCCATCCATCCATCCATCCATCCATCCATCCATCCATCCATCCATCCATCCATCCATCCATCCATCCATCCATCCATCCATCCAGC